GGGCGGCAGGTTTCATCATCATTGAATGTGAAATAAAAGGCTTTATAACTTAGCTGGCTGGAATGGTATCAGGTTCTTTCAATGACATTATTTTTAAGAGGAGTCTTGGATTGTGAATCTATAACTAAAAGAAGTTTCAATAGCTGAGCATCTGCATATGGCACAGCAGGGCAGAGCTGGGCAGGTGGTTCTGGCTGCCTACAGTGCCTGCCCCTTGCAGGACTCCATCTCAGCCTGGGATCTTCCTGGCTAAAGCAGAGCTGGAGAGCATGACTAAAACATGGTGGATGTCCAGACTCAGGGGACAGGGGAGAGGAATCCCAGTGACCCCTCCTCACTGGGAGGTGGGTGAGGGGTGGAGGAGGACGGTGGAGAAGGAATATCATCCAAGTCAGACCATTTCTGCTTTGTCCAGCAACAACAATGGATTTAGGATTTGTGTGTGACAGCTAGGGTAATCTCACTTGGGTGAAATATGGATTGATTTCATTTGCTTTTCCTGAAGGGCAATCTAAACTTTCCCCAGGAAAGTGTGTTATTTCCTAAAATTCCTTTAGGAAAAGTCCAATAATAAACAGAACAATGTGAGATTAATTGGTAAGCTCTTTTTAAAAATTAAGATAATGTTACTGGTGACAATGGAGACAGATTATGGCTACTGTCAGTATAACCTTTCTGCAGAAAACTTGTAACTAAGCATCTAAGAAACGTACATACATACACACATACACAGGTATAGGGGATATATATATATATATATATATATATATATACAGAACTCTTTAAAAACAAATTCATAAAACTTGAATGAACACGAGTGATATAAATTACACCACAAATTATGGTGGTCCCATGCTGAAGAATATTAGCTATTAGAAGCTATTTCAAAAAGCTCCTTTAGTGACCTGGGGAAATGTTCATTATTACATAACTAAGACCTTAGTAAGTTTCCTAGGTATGTTTTCATAAGGTCAACTAAAATACTTATAGATATGAGAAGGAAAAAAAAAACCCTCAATTAAGGTGGTTCAGTGGTAGAGTGCTTGCCTTGCATGCATGAGGTCCTGGTTTGAATCCTCAGCTGGAAGTGGTGCTGTGGCTCAAGTGGTAGA